CGAAAATATGTATCGATTTATGCTTCGTAATCATTTTAACCTACAGGCTACAGTCTCTTCCCATAGAATTTTAGCATTGCAGATACATTAATCCATTCCCACACTCAACACTGCTCACCTTTACTACTTCCGTCACAACCCCCTACGTCGTGGACCTGTTTCCCTCTCTTCCCATAGCATTTTAGGATTGCAGATACATATTTATGTAATTGCCAAAGACAGTTCCCACATTCTGCACTGCTAGCCTTACTACTAACTTCACCATTTCCTACGTCATAGACCTGTTTCCTTCCCTTCTCATAGCATTTAAGTATTACAGATACATTTATCTAACTGCCCAAACGGTTCACCCACTCTGCACTGCCAGCCTTTACTACTTCCTTAACCACTTCCTACGTCGGGGGGCCTGTTTCCTTTGCTTCTCATAGCATTTTAGGATTGAAGATACATTTATATAACTGCCACAGACGGTTCTCACACTGTGCTCATACTTTACTATTTCCTAAGCCACTTCCTACATCGTGGACCTGTTTTCATCACTTTCCATAGCATTTTAGTATTTTAGATACATTAATCTAATTGCCACAAACGTTCTCCACACTCCGCACTGCTAGCCTTTACTACTTCTTTCACCATTTCCTATGTCCTATGGGCATGCTTCCATTCCTTCTCATAGCATTTCAGCATTGCAGATACATTAATCTAACTGCTACAAACGGTTTCCAGTTCCCACACTCCACACTGCTCATCTTACTACTTCCTTCACCTCTTCCTACGTCGCGGACCTGTTTCCCTCTCTTCCCAAAGCATTTTAGGATTGTAGATACCTTAATTTAATTGTCATAAACAGTTCCCACACTCCGGACAGCTCGCCTTGACGACTTCCGTCACCACTTCCTACGTCTCGGACCGGGTTTCCTCCCTTCCCATAGCATTTTAGGATTGCAGATCCCTTAATGTAATCGTCATAAACAGTTCCCACAGTCCGGACTGCTTGTCTTTACTACTTCCTTTACCACTTCCTACGTCACGGACCTGTTTCCCTCCCTTCCCTTAGCATTATTGGATTACAGATACTTTAATCTAATCGTCATAAACAGTTCCCACATTCCGGACAGCTCGCCTTGACTACTTTCCTTCACCACTTCCTACGTCGCGGACCTGTTTTCCTCCCTTCCCATAGAATTTTAGGAATGCAGATACCTTAATCTAATCATCATAAACAGTTTCCACACTCCAGACTGCTCACCTTTAATACTACTTTCTTCACCACTTACGGACCTCAAGCTAGTGTCATCATTTGATTATATATTTATGATCCAACCGTTTCTGTTCTAATATCTGTGGAATAATGCTATCAGCTATTTCTTTATCTACTGCATTCAAAAGTCAACAGCTGATCATATGTCTTTGTTTATGTGTCAAATACTGCTTCCATAAGGATTACATTGAAACTTTGAGACTCGGTGGGGCGGATTCCTGAGAGACTTTTTTAACGCCATAGATGTTGGCACTCACCGATGTGGTCTTTATCACCATGCAAAATTTGAAAACAATTGATTCAGCCGTCTAGGAGGAGTTTGCGTATTACGAAATGTATAAGAGTTGACGTATAAGAGCTTCGCTCGCTCCGCTCAATCAACATAGAAAAGTAAAGCAAACAGATGTTAATTCCAACATCTGTATATTATTATAACAAATAACTATTGTTCTTCTTTGAATTTTATCAACAATTTTGAGGTTGTTAAAAGGTTGGGACAGTGGCGTCGTCCTGTAATCCAGCTACTAGGAGGTAACAAATTGTGGATATTTATATAGCCTAGGCATGCACTGTGGATGCGATGCTCCCTAGTGTGGATTAACGTCTGCAGTAGTGAGTACTATGGCTATTCGCATAATTAATTAGAATAATTGGTTGATTTACAAGGAAAAAATGTAGTTCGGATTCCACTATAAACTTCTGTACCTTAGTTGGCAATGGCTATATGGGCTTTTAATTAACAGCTGTGTCTAAGAACAGGTCATACTTAGTCACTGACAAGACTACAAGATTGTGCCACTCATCCCACACTCATATTTTGGGTTAAAATACGCAAAAAAAATTAGTCTTCGAGCCATTTTTTTTTTAAGAAAGTCTAAACTTAGTGGGCTTAAGAAAAGGGCCTAAACTTTGTTGTAAGTTATTTAAGATTTTTGGATTAATGTTTTGTGGTGATAACTGGAATATTTGTAAATTATGAGCTACAGGTTTGATAATATTTTTTTTTCTGGTATTGTAATTATGTTGAGTTTGAGTCTCCCAAAAAGTGGAGAGGTTTCTATGGACCCAGAATGCTATTTCCAAAATATAGTGATGACAAAAGGTTTTACAGTTTTTTTAGGGGTTCTGGGGGGAAAATGCTTTCTACGCTCTATTTTTACAAGTTATACACAGTAGTAATCTTAAAATTAACTCCTGCAAGGTTAGCTTAAAAAATTAAACTTGTAAAACGTAATTAACGTGATGTTTAAGAACAAACATTCTCTTATCAAGTATTTTTTTGCAGCTTGCGAAAACAAACCTTTAATCAAATCTATTTTCGTCTTGAGATTAATCTGTAAAAAAAGTTAAGGTTAAGTTTGATTTCCTCAAATGTTTGCAATTTGTTTTCAATGTATCACTTTGTGTATTTACTTCCTTGCAAAAACACTTTGTCTATTGAAAATTTAATAATATTTCTTGTAACAAATATTTGACCTTAAATCTATTATTGCTTGTAACAAAAATAAATTTTTATATTTTACCTTAAATCTCTTGGTAGCGTTTTCAAAACGATGTATATTTTCCTCCAGTAAAACACAGCCAGGGATGCAACACAAACACATAGGGAAGCCTGCCATTGGAAAACACTAAAGAATAATCCTAACAAAATAATAACCACATAAGACTCCATTGTGTGGGGGTCACTAGCAATGCCCTAAGCATACTGCTGGTTTTAGCCTGGCTTGGATGAACTATGAACTTTGCTTTGATTCTCTTATCATCCTGTTCCAATAAACATTTCATTTTGAATCCACTTTCCTTATCATTTCAAGCCCAGATAAACATTGTACCCTTAAATACTTTTCAGGAAAATTTCCTTTTAATTATTGATGTATGCGATTTACTTTGTTCAGATTTTAAAATTTGTTTGATAAAATGTGCATAATAATGACTTGCTTGCAGAGATCATTTAAAAAATAAATTCAAAATTGTTTAATCAAAACTTGTAGCAATATAGTAAAATTCATATATAAATCAATTTGTTGCCAAGTTGTTTGTTGTTAATGTTTTTTTTTTTACTTAATTCATTTTTTTGTAGAACAAATTTTAAAATGGCAGTTAACGTTTTACAGGAATGGGAAACACACTTTTAATTTATGAATAATTAATTGTGTCCTTAGCAATCCACCTATAATCCAAAAAGGACCAATTGGTTTTTGTGGATGTGCACAAATTATTATCACTTTTAAAACTTATTTTTATCTAATCTTTTACAAAATAAAAAAGCTCTTATTACCTAGAGATGTCACCTCAGTATGTGGGAAGCTTTTTATTTTGCTTGTATTTTATGAAGACAAGAATTATTTTAATAAAACCATGGCTAATGTTAACAATTCAAAACAATTTTAGAAAAATGCTTGGTCACGAAAACTGTAAAAATAAAATTAATTAAGTAAATTGATGACTATTTGTCTGTTTAATGCTGAGGTTGTATTTGCTCATTGTAATTACAGACAAAACTGAAACTAATTCAATGAAAGAGAAATCATTGCAAGTTTGTATTTTGTCAACAAATTTGGTAAACTGAAGCATTATCTAAGAAACTATTTACACTGATTTGAAACAAATATTTAAATTTCTTTGATTGTGTTTAAACACCCCCTTATGTTAGCAGCGAGGAGTACCAATTTTAATGTTAATTATTATGTTACATTGACTATAGGTACCAATCGGATTACAAGCTAAATTGGTTGGGTTTTTCCCTTGAGTTAGTTCCACATAACTTTCAGGTTTTAGCCTGGTTACTTCAGTCGTGCTGAGTTGAATCATGGCGTACAAACTGTTGTTAGTTTAATTTCCCATTTTGGGAATAAGCTATTACCATTACCATAGGTCTCATGGAAAGACCTGGACCCAGGATCTACTTACTTTTTCATTTCGATGTCCATAGAGACCAAAAAAACCATCTATTAAATTTATAAATATATTTATATGTCTGTAAGCACAATAATAAATAAAAATGCCTATCTCATTCTTAAGGAGAATAAGTTAACTGTTGTAGACATACATTTGATTTTACATATATTTAAGTAAACTCTTGTAGTGTTGTTTATGGATATAGTCTTGATAACATTTGGATTTTTTTTTATTTCATAAGCTACTAACTTTTCATTCAAACAAAAAAAATACCTCCCCTGTAGCAGCAAAACAAAGTACTCCTAAGTCCTATTTATTTTGATGCCTTGTATTTAAAAAAGGGTAAATGTTTGACATTTTTATGAAAATCAATTTGTGAAAAACCCTATCAGGCAGGATTGCTGCGGCAGGGGTATTTTTACTTTTGTATGAAGGCAATAAATTCAGATCATTGACAGTCAAAGAATTAATCATTGAAATTTTGCTTAGCAGCCAACATTTACTCAGTTTTTCCACATTGGGACAAATTGGTGCTAAATACTCACTCATAAGAAGGATATGTACATTCAATACCAGAGCAACCTTCTTTAATGATAACCCTTTGAAAACAATAGAACACTTTTATAGGGTTAAAATTTCATTTGCACAATACTTTTTTGAAAAAAATGAGATGAATCAGAAGAAAGTACCTCATTGATCTTCTGATTCATCTCATTTTTTTCAAAAAAGTATTGTGCAAATGAAATTTTTTAAAGAAATGCTTCATTTGGGTACAATTTGTGTTTAATTCCACAGTTTCAGGTTGTGATTAGAGGAGTTTGTAAAATAAAGAGCACACAAGTAGGAGAAAGGGTTTATATTTATTAAATCTTAAAAATCAGTACAGTGTTTACAATGATAATTTACACCAAATCCACATACTACTATACCCTACTTTAGATACTTCTTAGCAGATCTATTGCTTATCCCTTTTCAAGTATTATAAATATTATAATACAAAATAGAAAATAAATTTGTATCAATAATTCTATACAGATAATTAGTAATTACAAAACGTATTTTAATGTAACCAGTTTAAAATGTAAAAAACGTGATTAACTGGGACCCCAAATGGTTAAGTATTTTAAGTAAAAATTATATTTTCAATTTAAATGTGTATGTGTCTTAGTAATATTTTTTTAGTTTGTTAAATGAAGATATAAATTTAGTGGTTTCTACAATAGGAACTGTATTATGTCCCCCCATTAGTCTTTTACCATTAAAATAACTATTATTGGTTTGACTTTCACAATTTTTTATAAATAATTACAATTACAACAATGCAAAACTGAAGACGTCCGAAACTAGGTGACAAAACTATGAAAGCATACAATACCAACTAGTTGTTTCAACATACCAGTTAGTTACATTGGAACCATCGTCTGTGAATTACTTTTCTGAAACATATGTTAAGATATAAAATGTATTATGCTACTTAATAATGATCAGAACACAAATGAATGTAATGTATGCAGATAGCGTATTTAAGTTAAATTCTGATTTATTTGTACCCGTTAAATACTTGGGTAAAAAAGGAAAGAATCAGGCATACGGTGATATTTAGTTGATTTCGTCAATTATAAATTATAAATATTAAAAACATAAAGGAAAAGATTTGTATTACATTTCTTAACTTCGTGAAATAACTATGATGGAATTAAAGAATAAGTTTTAAGTCTCTTTGCAAATTTAATAGCTTTTTTAGGTTTGAGATAGTGATTAAAGTTAATTTTTGAAAAAAATATTAATTCCAATTAAAATATGTGGCTTATAAAAAAGAGATTTATTAGTTCTGATAGTAAAACTGCAAAAAAAGAGAAACCATCACAAAAATAGGTAAACTATTATTTTTAGTACCGAATTAATCACGCTGTTAAGTTTTGTGAGATTAGCGAGACCATATTGTAGTTATAATGTGAATAAATAATTGATTTATAATTTAGAAAAAAGTTCCATTAAACTTTTAAACCATAACCACATGAGAATTTTTACATTAATTTTAAAGTTTCCAAACAATTAATAATTTAATATTTATTTTAATAATAAAACATTTTTTACACTGGTAATCTCTAAACGTCATCAGACCAGTAACAGAAATTACAAAATACAACCGGTTGAAAATACAATAATATTTGCTCCTCAGTACCAGAATATGCCCACCAAGTCTTCAATAACTATTCCTAATAAGTTAAGTTCGTATAAAAATGTATTTTCTTCATTTAATCTGTTGGGGTTCATGGTTATTTTCTTGTTGGGGTTATTTTTGGTCTATATTTTCTATTAAATCACAATATCTGTAGTTAGTCATCATTATCTAGCTTCACAGTCTTCGTACAGTTCAATACACATGTAGGTTAACTATTACGAAGCTTGACATTGAAAACTTATGGTTAGTTACATTACAAGCGATTTAACAAGGGTAATTTACTAACATCAGGTTGACTTATACTGATAGTAACAAGACCAGGGTTTGAACTGTAACTTTACAAATTTAAAATGCATGCACCAGACAAAAAACATTAAAGTACCCCAACAGATTAAACGTACCAAACAATTACACGTCGATTCATTCTTCATACTTGTACCAAAGTCTGAAGACTTAATACTAACGGAAGACAACTGAAAAAGTGACAAGAGATTAAACTCACAGAGCTCAAAGGTGCAATGGAATTCTCCAGCAGATAAATCTCTGCCTACTTCACTGCACAATGCTTTTGATACTACCTTCACCTAACAAACAAATCTAACGTTCACAACACGTACATTCGCCTGAGTAAAGGTACTCGCGGAAGTCATTCGTCAAATGTTCATTCAAACAACACTCAGCCTTCAACTCTCAATTCCAAAGCTAAAAAAACCAATGTCCAACAAAACCTGGAGCGGAAATAGTTCAAATTACAGAGAATTAAGGTACAAAGGAAACTTGCTTATGGAACGACCGTGCGTTTTCAGCTCTAGTATGTTGTGCCAACAACAAATATACTTGTGACGAGCAAGGAAGCGGCGAGCGCTGTTTGGAAATTCCTATCGCACAGGGTCTTCCTCCACTGTAACGTTGCAGTATATAATGGTAAGGGGGGGGGGGTGTTAAATTTGCTGTAGACACCAGCAACTAGTGATAGACAGACACCACTTAAGTGTACCATTAAGTGTTTTCTCTGTACCTTACTTCTATGTGTTTAAACTCAATCATGATCAATTGATCATACATGCTAATCCTTAGTTCAACATCAACCAAGCCATGCTTATAACAAATAAGTTACACATAACACTAACAAATATAGTAATTAAATATGAGGGAAAGTAAATAAAAGAAACATTCGCCTATTAGGTCTGATGACGATTGGAGTGTCCAATCGAAATCGATCACCACTTACCATCTCTTTTGTATATTTACTGTCTTGTGAGTAACAGTATAAGCGTAAATATATGTTTTAAGTGTTATAAGACGTTTCTTTTATTTACTTTCCGTAAATTTAATAACACATACAATGCTGATCAAGAAATTATTTATTAAATATGTCACAGCTTTACATAAATATTGGTTAAAATTACGAACCGATTTGAGAAGATTTCTCTATAACATTGCTATTATTAAATTAACATGGATTACCAAAAAATTACAAAATCATTCCCAGCTAAAATCTGTTTTTAGTTTGAAAAGTCAAGTAGAAACAGATAATTAGAGGAAGCTTTAATGATATAAAATTGCTAATTATATTCATGATTACTGAAATATGTCAAAGTAAACAATATAATAAACAATATTATCCTCAAGTAAAAGATAGCAACAGTAAAAATTATTTGATCAATATCAGTAATAAATCATTATTAAATATTGTGATAAAAGTTCTTGATCGTTCCTTAACTATGATGATGTTTAATTTTATAAATATGATACATTAAAATGAATAAAACTACCCATATCAAATATCATACACATAAAATTGTGCTGCAAAATCTACAATTTAAGAAAATTTGGATCTTTACTTAATTTGAAAGTTTTCTAACTTAATATGAATGGTGATTTGTTAAATCAATCTAAATAATATTCAACACAAAATGTTTGGAAAGTTATCAATTCTTAGAAAACTGATGTAAAGTTAAAATCAATTAACTTTAATTTAGGATGTCATATTATTTTGTACTCACTTCCTACTAATTAAACATACAGTGTGTTCATAACGGTCTCGGTTAACGAGTAGTTGTAGTGCTGACCTTCAAATCTGAAGGTAGCTAGTTCAATTCCAAATGTTTACGGACCAAGATGTTATTTAACATTGGACTATTAGTTAATTACGCTGTCAAAAGGTAGGCATTAGAACGTAATAAGAACGGTTTGGACTGTTTCCTTACAACAAACAAAAATGCCAATGGCATAGAGAAACACCAAAATATAAACATATCATAAACATAGTCAAATACATTTTTATTCTGTCTGCGTGATTAACATTTTTAAGATATCCAAAAACTGGGTAAGGTGGAACCCTGGAAATTGAAACTAATTGAGACTGACCTCTGTTTGTATTCCTAAACATTTTTATTTCAAAATACATTTTTGTTTACTTTATTTCTCATTTGTGATTGAAAAAAAAGTTTGAGTTACAGTACAACCCCACTAATCTGTAGCCTAAGAAACTGAGGAGCAGCGTGTTAAGGATTTTGCCGCGATTATGGGAGACAATAATGTTGCGGTAGAAGATATTCAGAATTTTTCCGCAATTGCATAACCACGAGAGAAGCTCAAATTTTCTTGCAATTGTCTAAGATGATGAGTCATACGTTACCTCAGGAGATTGCCACGATTGTAGATAACAACAATAAAGTTTCTGGAATCGAGGGAAACGATAGTGATGCCCCCGCGAGTTCGGGAGATGTTAAATATTTACCAACAAAACGATCGCCAAAGATGAAGATGATTTTTACCATCATCGCATGATTTGTCTAGGATTTTCCATAATCGCAGAAATGACAATATTGTCATAAGTGACCGCGGGAAACTTTCAGTATCTTTCCAAGATCGCGGAAGACGTTGATGACCTCTGGAGATAAACAAGACTTTTTCCGCAATTTTGGGAAACAATGATGATGTCTAAGACATTTCAAAGAAAAATGGTCACAACAACATTGTAACCAATAGACTATGGCACTACTACACACTATGATGTTTTTAGCTGTTTTACATACGTTAATTGGTGGCTGAAAGTTACGTTTTGCTGGCATTCGTTATTTGGGGACCAAGAAGGTTTTTACATCCCTAGGGCCGCAAAATCAGCTGCCCACTTACTTTCTTAAAACATGAATGCATATTAAATACACAATCAGTATCCATAGCATTGCAATAGAATTGTTTTATTGTCACCGATGCCTAGCAACTATTTATTATTATTTTTGCTGATACCTCAAATTATTTCTTCACATAACCTTAAAGTTGTAGTTGTGTTGACTATCAGTGTGCATTATTATTGTAGTGAATAGTGGTAATAGGATATAGTGTGGTAGAAAATAGCGTTTGTACCACGGACCGAAACGGTTTTGCAGCTCTCGATTGTTTTAAAAACTATCTCGAGCCAGCAAAACCTCAATTTTGACCCTAGGTACGAAATATACTAATACACAAGCATACCTTGATACCTTGTAATCATTGCGATGGAAGTAAATGATGCTAGAATCATGCAAAACAAGTAAAATGATTGGATGATATTTAATAAAATTCTAGCAAGCAATGAAGGGGTTAGAAAAACTTTTGAAAATTTGTAACTATTCCATACAGCACATCTAAAGAACCACATTATTCTCTTTCACGTCCACTTCCCGTTACAAAGCACGGAAAGCAGCAAGTCAGTAATAACAAACATATACGAGTGACAATCGTTTATGATTCATTAATTAGTTGGAACAAATACGCACAAGGGGATATCGGTCTTATATTACTTAACATAAGGACATTCATCGTCTGTGTTTCTGTAAGAAACCATACACCTCACATTCGGATGATAGATATGATGATCTACCATCTCAACAATTGATTTATTGACTATTGTAATTGCAAAACCAATTACAAATTTTGTATATCCTTGTGTTCAAGTTTTGTAAAACACAAATTCATCAACAACAAACACTTAATATAAATAAAGCTTATAAGCTACCAACAATATAGTAAAAAATACAAATTAATTTACAGGAATAAAAATGTTCCGAGGGTTAATCTAAAGGAGCTTCGTTCGAAGGGAAGCGTCTTCAAATTTCAAGCCTCTGAGCTGTGGTTTTCCTTAAAATCTGGGAAAGTCTTCTGAAAGCTTCGACAAATGCGACGTTTGGCTCCGTTACAGCCTGAACGAGACTTTAGAAGACTGTCGACAATGTTTGCCTGGCAGTGAAGGATTACAGAACGAAACAGAACCGAGACCTGATGAAGGCAGTATCGAAGGCATTGGGAGGTCCAGTCCTTAGCCTGTCAAGTATACCAATTAACATTATGACTTAAGAACTACGGGAGCCGAGAGATCAGCATTCCTGCTTTCTGCTTCTGCAACACCATCAGTCTGTTTCAAAAACAATAAACATACTCAACAAACACTTTACTTGTATTAATATTAACAATTTAACACTACTTGAAGTGGTAACATGTGAGATGTACAAACTTCTACTGGATACATTACAGTGGATTCCAAATATTAAATGTGTTCTAGAGATGGGTTTAAACAGAATCTCAAGTCTCAAATCTACCAAATCTTAAGAACAGATTTGATTACCAATTTGATAAGCTGAATTTGAGAATCAAATATCATATATAATATTTAGTTTGTTCAAGGTGGTAAGTCAAAGAATCCTAATTGGAAATGTTGGAATTTTCCGTGTGCTTTTGTTTTTTCAAAATACAATGATTTAGCAACTGCTTGGCAACCTGGAGTCTCACAATGATCATTTGAAATTATCACTGATGTTGCTGCGATTGCGGGAGATGATTACTTAATTGCTATGATCTTCACCTAAACAAAAAAAAAATAAAAAAAATAAATAATGAGTTCCACTACTGGTTCAAAAATATTTGATTGTGAGAAAGTTTCGTACAAAATTATTCCACGTGATATATTATTGAAATAAAATAATTGTAGTTAAATTTGAGACTTAAGATTCAAGACTAATATTTTACGACTCTTGATTTGAAATTGAAACTTGAAATTCTTCTAAAATGATTTTTAGTGCTAACTAGACCTAAAATTTATTTCAACTTTGAGTATCAAAAGCAACTTTTTACGACTATTGGCAGCAAAACACTAGTTTAACATGTTAGATTACTTGTCATGTGTGATGTTACTCACTGTCAAGAGCCTTCTACTGTGCCAGCAAAGGTCATGTGCAGACCACCTCCTCCTTCGGGCTTTCCTGAAACAAACCAATTTCACGCATGCAAGAATGTTAAAATTGAGATCACTTATTGTCAACTGTAGATTTGAAATGATTTTCTTAAACTCTATCAATTAGTTAGTAGATTGGCTTAACCAAGAGCCGTAGTTTTTAGGGACAGGCTTTTATAGCTCGTTTCAGGACACCAAACAAAATTCATTCACTTGGTTGCCACTTTACAATAACCTACCAATCTGTCAATGAATTTAATCTGACGACACTACTGACACAAAAGAAACTGTGGGTTCTGACTTAGTGAACCATAGCCTTGTGTGTCATTTAACACTATGTTAGTTTCTGTTAATTCTTTTTTTTTACATTCTTCCGCTACACATAGTTTATAGAAGAAAGTATTTTACTCAACAAAATCTTTGAGTTTGAGTCTTAGGTGGAAAAAATATTGTTGGAATTTTGGGTGTAAATATCCGTTTTGGGCCTCCCTGAACCCTAAAAAGTGATTTTCGATGTGATGTCTGTGTGGATGTGAACAGAGCTAGGCCTACAGACTACACCTGTGATCAAATTTTCATGAAATTTGGTATGTGTGTACAAATCTATGGTATCTCCAGGTATTTTTTAGTTTTTTGAAATTTTATTTTTTATGGTGATTCTCTCATAAAAATATATAAAATTACAGAAAATTGGTTTTTCACAAAAACGGCTAAGACAATTTTGTTTAAAATGGAGTATGTTATGGTCTTTTCAACCCTAAACAAAATGGTACAACCCCGAATGATGTAAAAATTACATTACTAAATTTAATGCAACTTTTGTGATTTTCCTGATAAAACATCATAGTTACTCCCACCGCTTGCCATTATAAGGGTTCTTGACAAGCTAATGGGGAAAAAGTATGTGTCAGATTGCTGATGCAGTTTTTTTTTATGTGAGGTTCCATTGTAACAAATTAACTGCAATCGTGAAACAATTATTAACTAAAAAATAAACTGTCATAAAGGAAAAGCTGAGTATGTAGTCATCAACATTTTACCGGGACCGACACTAGCAATATGCTCACCAAAACAAACCTTCCTTAGGGGTCCTCTTGCATCTGCTCTGGCATAAACTAGAACATATCCAACTTGACAAGAAATGGTGACTAGGGATGTGTTCTTTAAATATTCTTTGCGACTCGTTGGTCCAGAGCACAAACATCCGAACTCAACATTATCACTTGATTAGGCTTGATTAGGCCTACTCTACTTTAGTTCAAATTAGTTTGTTTATTCATATTCCACAACAAATAAAAGTGTTACAAACCTATAATTTTAACCGTGAAGATTTCTATGCTAGAAAATTCATAACGAACATAAGCTATAATTAGTAGGCCTAAACATTGAGAATTTTGAGATAGACATTTTTACTATTGTTGACCAATCTTGACCCTTGGAGACAAATTTTAATCTTTGCCTCCGCAGACGAGTATGGAATATTATACAATCATTAAAGTTTTCAGGATCTTTAGATATCATAACATACAAAATATATTAAAAGCGATTTAGAAATTTACAAATCCAACAACAATAAAAATCAATAATGAATAAACAGATTCAAAACTTGTAAAACATAAAATTTATAAAAACTGCAATGAACAACCTACTGACAAACTATTTAAACTGTAGTTACCTTAACCAGTACTTCACTTTCATCAATGATAAACCAATTCCTAATCTCTGAACGTCGAAACAAGATTTTACAAAACTGCTGATTCGGAACTCTAGTTAAACAAACTTAACAAAATATACAACATACCTCAAAACTACTTAAAATACACAAAATGTTATTAAAAGCTGAATAAATAACAGACCTCATTTGTGACGGGCAAAGTATCGTTCATTAAAGGTGGATTGTTGAGAGTGGCATATAACCTTTCATCTTCTGACATGGCAGAATTTGAGTCGTCAGTGTTGCATTGCACTATTATTGAATTGTTTGGGGAGTCGTCCTAAAACACAACAAATTTACATGTTTAACAAACAATCAGGTCAAACACTTACAAAAGAGGATATTGATGAAGCAAGCATACAATGAAATTAAGAACTTTTGGTTAAGATCAAACACTTTCAAAAATTATTATTCTTTATAATTGGCACGTCTATTGATAAGAACATGGAAATAGTTAAAGTATTACCAAAAGGTTTTAAGTTTGATGTTAAAGAAGAATTCAATACAATAACAATACAATAACAACGACCAAATCAAAACAAATATATAATTACTGTAATATGGCAATACAATCAGGTGATTTTTTGTTTGCAATCTGGGTGACGTCAGCATATGACGGGAATAGCACACCTATTTTTTCCTTCCACCATGGTTGGATAAGGTAATAATTTTATCATTTTTAGAAAATTATATTGATAAAACAAACATACAATGAAATTTAAAAAAATTGGTTAAGCTTTTTGTATTAACAGAGGTACACTGGTTTTATTCGTAAGTAAGATTGATGCTTTTAAACTTTGCCCAGCTGTCCTTGGGCCATGGTTTTGGTTCATGAACCAGCAAGTACTAAGGCCACCAACAGGACTTATCTATTTCTAAACGACATGATATTTTAGGTGAGGTCAATACTTCAGCATGATATATCTTTGGGTATCACTCACCTTATTGAAATCAGGAGAACACAGTCCTTGTCTTATCACATATCACAGTTCATTGCACATAGGCCTACACATTGATAAAAAATAAAAATAAAACTTAATATAAAATCACAGACTAAAGTTCTCAACTTCGACGTTTCGCCATACCAATATCAACGTTATTTTTCAGTCAAGGTTATTTTTTCTTCTCACTTAAACGTTGTGCGTCTGGTGCGGCGAAACGTCGGAGTTGAGAACTTAAGTCTGTGATTTTATATTTAGTTTTAATTTTATTTTTGTATTTGTGCAATGAACTGTGATATGACAAGGACTGTGTTCTCCTAATTTCAATAACGTGAGGGATTCCCAAAAATATTTATCATACTGAAGGACTTATCTACTTGCCGTAACTGAAGTCGATGGGTTTACTTACAGGCACGTCTATGCTGTGTTTGGATTTCTTTGAGCCTGTGTCCATGTTTGAATCGGAATGCCTCTTTCTGTTTGGGACTTCACTTGTAGAGTTTGTCTGGGGAGAAACACTTCCGTTGGGAGCGGACGTGGAGCTCGTGGAAACCTGACGATTCACAATAGACAAGTAAATTGAATGTTATTGCATTATACAGTAGTAAGCTTTTATAGTTCATGTAAGTTGCATATACACGGTAAACATACAAAAAAGCTAGATGTCACCTACTAAAAAATGTGTTCCCCTGATCATGTGTTTACAGTCCAATCCAAAAAATCAAAACTCGAAGTGCGCTGCTTTCCTGTATTCCACGAGGAACTTCCCAGAACCGCTGTCAGAGAAACTGCTCTATGTGTACGCAGTAATTTGTTTGCGTTGGATTCACGAGAGTTGTACCAACCCTTGCATGTGTAGGCCTATAGCTTAAACACTGTACTCTCACAGAACAATCTGAATATACTGTTATGTGTTAATGACATTGTAAAAAATTCCATTAAAAACTAATTTTGCAACTCATTTAGAAGCCACTTACCCATAACTTTTGACGGTAATATGATTCCGTTTCTTAACTTACCTATCTTCGACAAGTACTGTTATCTAGACTCTTGGTAGTACACTACTCACCTTTCTTTCTCTCTTAAGTAAATACGCAGGTAAATATGCTGACAGCTGCTTCCTGAAATAAAAAAAATAATTAAATAATAAACTATTAAGGAAAAGATATTTGCACAAAGAAGAATAACATAGAATACAATGAGTTACAAACACAAAAGGTTACAAAAGGTCTTCCTCAACCATAAACGTTGTAGTACACAAGGGGGGGGGGGGGGGCAGTTTTGGACTTTGCCCTAGACACCACTTAAGAGGCTACCATTCATTGAGTGTTTCCTCTGTACCTTACTTCTCTGTGCTACAATTAAGTTTTTAGGGCTGGAGATTAAAATTTTGATCGATAAAACTTTTCAGTTAACAAGTAACATGTAGTAAATTTATAAAAATTTAATTTTGACGAGCTCAAATTTTTGCAGTAACTTAGTCTGCAATAAAGAATAACATAAAGTTATTCAAGAAGGTAATAATAGTATGTAATCATTTTTTCAGCTTACATTTGTTACATTGTTAGAGGTAAGAGCACTTACTAGTTTATTTTCAGTAGTGAGTTTAAAATGAACCGATGCTTTACAAAGCAAAATATTACAGAAAAATCCAAGAACTTAAATTTACTTATTCAAAAAATATTTTCAAAATCCTTTTTTTACAAAAAAAGTTATGCAATTTTCTTATTAGCAGGTTTTAATTTCTCTTGATTTTTATCAAACTTTATAACACAAACATATTTTCAAATGAAAAACTCTTAAACAAACTTAAACTTGTTCAACAAAACAACTTGATCCCAAAACAACGAAATTCAAAGGGCAATCAAACAATAAACATAACAACCCTTTACTTGAAGTATAATAAAGTACTTACCTTCTAACATACCGAGCCTCAATCTTCATCCCTTCTTTTATCATCTTAATCATTCCTGCTTGCCGATGAACTGAAAATAATTTAAGAACTGTTCTAGGTTATTTTTATACAGATTTTAACAAGTCTAAAGGTTCTAACTCAAACAACAGTAATGTTTGAATTACAACAGCTTTCAAGTTCAGAGGTTCCCACGAAAATATCTTAAGTGAATTCCCTGACTTTCCCTGACAGATTTCTGTTCATTTCCCTGACCACGGCATATTTTGGGTACTGTGAGTTTTCTTAATATTTACATATAAGTCAAGTCTTTATCGCTTAAAAACAACTTTTTTTATATGTAATACGGCCACCACCATCCCCATATCCGCCATTACACCTCATTCTAGTGATATTCCCTTAATAGGGACCTGCTATTACCACGGGTCTCATGATAAGACCTAGACTGCCGACCGATTTACTTTTTTTTTGACAAATTTGTTTATTTCATATTAACCTATCAAGATTTTAATCAAAAGCACTCCATATTATATTTTCTTTACCAACAATCCTATAGCTAACAAATCTGTATTTATTAAAATTAATCTTATTTGAATAGGAAATAATTTTAAAGGAATATTTTAGAAATCCAGTCAGGTAAAAGGAAATTTGCATAATCTGAGAGGTGCTGTGGCAGGGATAGTTATTAATACAATACCAAATAAGAAATCAAATTCTAAATACTTAGCTCTAAATAAAACAAAAAATGGTAATACAAATTACATACATACCACAGATTTTTCAGAACTTAGTAATCTTTTCAGCAACTATCTCATTTCAATATTACTATCCAAAGTTAAATTTTAGTGAATTTCTCTTTTATAAAAACGAATGCAAAGACTGGTTGCTAACGAAAACATTTTATTCTTTAAATGAATTTTTAAGTGGAAATTGGTAGGATTTTAAGTATTAGGCCTACAATTATTTTGTTTCAATTTTAATACTTCTATTTAGTTTTAAGTATTATACTGTAATTGGCAAATGTCCTGGCATTTTATGATAATCCTGGCATTCTGTAAATAAATAAAAATACATAATAAAATAAGTTTTATCATCCAAAAAATTAAGGTGATCTATAGAAGTTTTTAGTAAATTTCCCTGACCTAACATTATTTTTAGTTTTTCCCTGACTTGCGGCCTTTTAAAAAAACTTTCCCTGACCATCCCTGACCCTATACCTGTTTCCCTGACTTTCCAGGTCCGTGGGAACCCTGAAATTATTAGTTGGTTTGAGTAAATTTCTATCATTTTACGATACAAACAAGGACAACTTTGATGATAGTCTATAACATCAATTATCAATTATTTAAGATGGGGACGCCACTATGAGCGTATTTAAACCCAAATATGAGTGAAGGATGGGTGTAGGATGAGTGGTGCGGTCTTGTAGTCTTGTTAGTGACCAAGGCCGACATGTTCTTTAGACACAGCTGTTAATTAATTAATAGCCCATACAGTCAATGGCATCTAAGGGACCTACAGTTTATAGTGGAATCCGAACCACATTTTTTTCCTTGTAATTAACTAATTGTTCTAATTATCAGGATAGTACTGCGGATAGTCGTAGTACTCACTAGTGCGGATGTTAATCCACACCAGGGAGCATCGCATCCACAGTGCATGCCTATAAATATCCACAATTCGTGACTTCCAAGTAGCTAGATTACAGGATGACGCCACTGTGCCTATAAATACACAAAAATTAAACTTCATTGAATTCCTGAGGATCCTACGCTCAAGATATTTAATTACAAACCAGGAGGAAAATAAAATGAGTGAAGAATGGAACTGAGAGGAGTAATTTTACTAGATCAAAACTAACGATACCAAATCCTTAGATGAAATTAAAAATAAGACAACTGTTTAAACACCATCCCCGACTATCTACCCGTAGTACTACAGTACAATACCAGCGTTTGTGAAGTGTTGAATGTCGTAAGTGAGGTCAACATTGAGGTTCTCAGTCTTGGCGAAAACTAGGCCAATGAACCACATGTTGGTGGGTGCGTTGGTCTGGTCGGGTGCGGGCGGAACACCCGAGTGGCACTCTGGGTTGACATGGGCCAGCACTATGTGTTGGTTACGCTCCAAGTTCATGATGAGATACCTCACTTTGGACTCTATCAGACCACACCACTCCAGCTGGTCTTCGGCACAAGTGGAACTCGCTATCAGTACTATGAAATGCCTGGAAATGTTTGGTTATATTTGTTTGGCGTTAATTACTAAAACAAAAAAAAAACCCTATTAGACTTAGGTCCATGAATAAAAAAATGGAAGATTCTCGGACCAAAACTAATTTACAGCAGCGTCAGATTTCTGAGTATGTTGAACTAATAAATAAGGGTTGAATTTGAAAAGCAAACTGTTCTAAAAAAAAACAAAAAAAACTCTTACAGTTATATAAAAACCTGCGCTTTGAACAACGAGTTCTACTAATATGGTTATAAACACTAAAAAATATCATACTTGTATTTGGCAAAGAAATTTGGTGCTTCAAACAATCTGTCCCAGCCGCATTTTCCATAAACAATGTCTTCCGTTGTTTGAAGGCCTTGTTTAAACTCTTCTTGCATCACTGTTCTGGTTGACACGGAGACATTGAAAGTCGAGTTCTGTTGAGGATATGCTGGTGTGATGATAGGCATTAGGTGATAGCGATCCGATACATTTACCTGCAAAATATACAATCTCTGATTTAGTGCTTAAAATCTCATTAACTTGTCATCTCACATGAGAACCCAATCAAAATTTACTTGCTCACTGGGAGTAAGTGTTAAAAACACACATTTATAATACTGATCTTGCATTGTTCTGATCTAGCAAGCCCAATGATCAGGGACAGCTGGGTCCTGTTTCAAAAAATCAAAAAGCTCCTGACTTTTCTCAGGATTGATCCAGCAACCTTTTGATTGCGAGCACTATAACCACTCAGCTACCCAGCCAGTTAAATAGAACCTCAATCTGACTTAGGGATATATGACTCCACAAAATATCTAATAACATCCAAATATCTATTGACAATTATTAATCTCTCGTTTCTGCTAAGTTTCTTTCTATGATTAGTTACCAGGGTCCCACAAATAAGAAAACCACTAATTATCAACGTCCTGCTATTCTAATCACCAGTTAAGAGGAAGAAATACGGTAAAAAAACAAATACTATGTGTTCTGAAATACTTGTCAGGGTGTAAAGATGACCAGAAACATGAGGATTTCAATGACAGGGGAGAAGTCTAAAAACTGTAAATTTGGTATTAAACCAGGAAATGTTTAATAATCACAAATAGCCTATGAATGATTGTCCATTCTCATTAACAGTGTTCTGTTGTTAATCATTCTAGGTTGTTGTTTTATAAAGATTTCAGTAAGTAAGAGTAACATAATTGTAGAAGATAATAAAAAATGATGCTACAATCTTGGTAGATAATAAAGGATATTTCTGCAGTCACGGACGATGATCAAGATGTTAACATGATCACAAGATATAATAACAGTGTTTCTGTGATTTTGGGAGAAAATCAGTGTTGCTGTCTTCGCAGGAGTAATTTATGACCATTCATAGTAAAAATTACATTGATTCAGGTTTCCAATGCAATTTCACTACATTCTTGGTTAAGCCGAACTATTAGGTAGGCAATATGAATTAGTTTGAAACCTAATTACCTAATTAGTCTGGGTTACCGGGACTCTGGTGTACCATTTCAATTAAATTCAAATATTCTTTATTCATACATTTGTACAATGGTACAACAAATAGTGCCAAAGTATATAATACTAATTTTGTCTAAAATAAAAGTATATTAATTAATGTTTATGGTAATGTAAATTCATTTTCTAATCAATTGATTTGATTTTTTACTCATGAACAATTAAACTAAACTCTGTGGTTTTTGAAAAAATCTGTAAGAGAATATGGAGCTAATTAAAATATACCTTAAAGTTATTCTTACATTTACTTATGTTTTGTTCACCAAGAAATTACCTTGGTAGATGAAACAAAAATTTAGTTCCCTTATATTGAGTTTTCTTTTTTAAAAATTCTAAATTGTGTAGTTCTACCAGTCTATTTAATCTGGTGTTGTACGGGTAAAAGTTGTTTACAAAATTTTGATTTTCTAGTTGCTTTACATACATTACAGTTTCTACAAAGTAGAGAGCATAAACGTATTCTTCTACCTACCCTAGGGTCCCAGACTTGAAAGCCCAGGTTAACGTTGTCAGGCTGTTTGAGAAGAACGGGCTGCGGCCACTTCCACTGTGAGAACACTAGGAAGAACTTGTGTACGAGTGTAGCAGCCACAGCGTTAGGATACAACTGACAGGTACGAGCCACCAACATAGCCCATGACACTCCTCCCAGGTAACCCAGCACATTGCTGTAGATCCCGTGCTCTGTGTGACAAAGTAGTCAATATGTACCCAAGTGAATCTTAGACAAAACACCCAAGTGAAAAGTGACAAAACTAAGAGGAATGGGAGTTCAATTCAATTCAATTTGTTTATTCACGGCAGAAGCCATTGTACATACCATTACATACGGGAGATAAACACAAGATGCATTAGAATAGTAATACTACTAAATAGAACGTACACAAATGGCAAAAGGTTTAGGATAGTAATGGTCGGATCTGGATACCGGACTACCGGATCCGCCAGATCTGAGCTAGAAACGATGCCCGATCTGATCCACAAAAAATCGGATCTTGGGCTGGATCCAGTTTGAATGGATCCGAGTTTATTTATTTTTTTCTTAGTTCTATTAACACAAAACGTCCTTTATAAAGTACAATTCATACATAAGAACAGGTGTTATGTCATAATGATATATTTTAAAATAAAATTAATAGTGACTATCAGGGTCCATGTACAAGACTATCTGTATCCATGTACTATCTGTATCCCATAGAGAAGATCTATGTATAGATATGGATAGTCACACATATATGGAAAAAATAGTCTTATACAGTGTGTAAATAAAGTCTTTAAACAAATCTGTATTTTTTAAACCGAAATAGATAGAAATATTCTGTTTGTGGCATTGATTGTTAACAAAGGTTCTGCAATTTTTTACATCAAAAATATTGTTTAACCCCCCTACAGGGGCGTCATTTGGGGAGGGCAGGGGGGGCTTTTGCCCCCCTCTGGTTCCTGGGCTAGAGAAAAAAATATTCTGTAAATGTTGTACAAGAGAAATTGGGCATGAATCTAATAAAAACGAACATAATATTAATACATCATGGAACTATTGATCACGTTTCTTAGATGACTAACTTACCAACATATTATTATGTTTCTGTCTGTTGGCAATAATTGTCAGTTTCATTAATTTTCTGCCTAAATTTAAATAAATTTTACTCAATTTTGTTTGTATTCTAAGTGCTTTTGACAATTAAAATAAGCTTAACCCCATCTTCTTTATTTCAAAACTGCAAAATTTTCCCGGGAGCCCCCAGTTTCCTGAGGGTATTGTATACCCCCATACCCCCCAGTGTTTCCCCCCCCCTCCCCCAAGGATTTGGTGAAATGACGCCACTGCCCCCCTAACAGGGTAGGGGGTAGGGGGCCACTTATTATTTCAAATAGCAACCCCTATTGAGTGACCCCTCATTTTAAAGGATTTTTCAAAAGAAACACGCAAACAGTGACGCAAACCCGAGGTGGATATCTCACCCCTAGCCAAAATGACAGGTATTAGAAAATTTGATTTACTGTATGTGAAAAAGCACAAATTTCACAAATATGGAAACAAATCTCTATTTTTAAAACCAAAATAGATAGAAATATTCTGTTTGTGGAATTATTTCTTAACATCGGTTCCGCAATTTTTTATATCAACAATATTTTTTAACCCCTTTAACAGGGTTGACGGGTGGGGGTGATTTTTTTTTTTTAATAACAACCCCTATTGAGTGAAAATAATATGTTCTCTCCCATTTTCTTTTACTGAGAAACAAAAACAGTAGGCTACTTTGTGTTGTGGCAATCCTCAGAGGCAATGTATAGGCCTACAGAGCTTTATTGCTACAGTGTTTTTGAAAGCTCATCTTCATAAACAAAAATTGTATATACTACAGTGACCATAAACCAAATAATCGTTTTTAGTTAATATACTAATAACTTCAAAGGGTGTTAAACAAACATTATGGAGCTGAAAAAATGCTTAAACTGTTAAAAATAGTATTTCTATAAACCCCATCCCAGTCTCAAATTATTTGAGGGTTTATTGATCTAAAAACTATTTAAAATAATTAAATGTGAAGAATACTTACTTTTGGCCCAGAGTTTGATAGTTCGAAGGGCTAGGCGAAAGTTTTCAATATTAGGTACCAACCTAAGAATTTCATCTGTTACTCTACAGCCGTTCAAACTTCGAACACATTTTTGATCTAAATTCTTTAACAGCAAATCGTCTTTTAAATCCTAGAAGCGGAAAATACTGTTAGAAATCAATCACTGAAAATATTACAGACAATATGATAATGTAAACAGTGCAGATAATATCTTAAGATAATTAATAATCAATCCTATCAATTTCTGGGAGGTGTGATACACAAGAAAATTGGGGTTACTAAATTTAAAAATTTAACGAAACAAAAATAAAATAAGTAGGCCTAAATATAATATTCATCATAGTCAAAAAGTAATTTTGACAGCCACCAAGTCATGAAGTTTAGAAATTGTATGCTGTTGATTTTTTCAAATAACTAATCAATCTACTTGTTTTATTTACTGTCAATAGAAGAGCATTCTTCTTGCTTAGATTTCCTGCTAAGTAAATTTAGCATAGGCCTATGGCGAGGATTAGAAAGTATCTTGACATGAAAGCCAACAGAAGATAAAGTAACAATGTTTATAATTGAGTTTGCTTCCACAGGAGCGTCAAATGTTAATTAATATTAAAATTTATTTTTTGTTGTTCCTATGCGCTGCAAAGCAGCAACATGACTGAGGGTGTATCATCAGTTCATCCACTATAGCTTTGTCATCAATTTCAACATAAAACAGTCTAAAACATAAAAATGCCTTTTAAAAGTTACACAAAAAAACAAACCTTTAACATAAAAACAGAATTTTTGTTGCAGTGACCACATCTCAAATATGTAATTGATTAGTTCAGGGTGACAATAATTTTGTTTGTCTGCATACGTGAAATATGGCAACCATACCAGTCTTCTGTTAAATGTCTTTGATTTTTTTTTGGGTAAATTGTGTATAGTAAAGGTAGATGGAGAAATGTCGGAGAGCTTTAGTATAAATACAGGAGTGAGACAAGGGGACGGGATTTTTATCATGAAATTTTCAGCGGACGTGTAGACATCATCATAGACTGCCGCGGTCACAGTCACGGAAACGTCCTCGTCGTCGTCCGCCATCTCGGCAAAATCAGGAACATTTCCCGCGGCCGTATAGACATCATCATCGTCTCCCGCGGTCATGGAAACGTCATTGTCGTCGTCCGTGATCGCAGTAAAATTATGAACATTTACCGTGACCGTTTAGACATCATCGCCGTTTCCCGTGATTCCGGAAACATCATCGTCATCGATCGCAGCAAAATCATGAACATTCCCTGCGCCAGTTTAGACATCATTGTCGTTTCCTGCGATTCTGGAAACGTCATCGTTATCGCCCGCGATTGCAGCAAAATCGTGAAAATTCCCAACTTTGATATCAAAATAAAGCCTAAATCCCGACTTTTCAAGACCATTTTGAAATTCAATAGTAGGCATAATTCCCGACTTTCTCGTTTTTCCTGACTACTAGACACCCTGACAATTTCCTACGCAATGGCGGCAAATTAAAAATTCACCGTAAAATACAAAATTAATGTATAACTCCCCGTTTTATCCCAGTAAAAAAAATCTCGCTATTCCCGCTTTTCCAGGTCGGTGGACAGCCTGTAAATTCATCTAATGTAATAAAAAGATAGCCTACATAAAAAATGTAAGTTTATTTAGTATTTACCATCTTTTCTGAGATTTCCTTGAGAGCTAATCTTGCAAACAGCATATCAATTTCTATCCCATCAAAATTCATTTTAATGACAGGAACATAGGCTTCTTCAACGGCCTGAAAAGAGTAAACAAAACACATTTTCATTAAGACAGATACTGAATGAAAAACTAAGTTATCATAGTTAGAAACTCTTATCCAATCTAGAACCACAGACTGCCAAATAACATGAAATAATTTTGAATTGAAATGAGAAACATCCCTCTATATTGAGATGCACTTAGGACGACGTGGTCCTTTACGGTTACTGTCTAACTTACTTCAGATTTAGAAATACTTTATTTGTAAACAAAATTGTGTCAATAATATCTCAATCAATAATAAATAGTATATCTATACATCTAGAAATAGCAATTAAAATACTCATTGAAAGAGTACCTAGACCTAATATGATAGGCTAATCATGTTTAACATATGTTTTATTTCTTTCAAGGGAATTTCCCATATAAGGGAATAAGTCATTACCGGAGTACTTACGGTAAGACCTGGACCCGGGACTGATTTACTTTATCGTTTTGAGGTCCTTAGAGGCCAAAAACACCGTCCGTTCAAATTCACTCACACACACATATATATATATATACGGTACCTATATACAGTGTGTAAATTAAGTATGGAAACAAATCTGTATTTTTAAAACCGAAATAGATAGAAATATTCTATTTGTGGCAATAATAGTTAACAAAGATTCCGCAATTTTTCACATGAAAAATATTTTTTTACCCGCCTAACAGGGTAGGTGGTAGGGGGTGACTTATTTTTTTTCAAATAGCAACCCCTATGGAGTGACCCCTCATTTTGAAGGGTTTGTCAAAAGAAACACAATGACGCAAATCCGAGGTGAATATCTCACTCCTAGCTAACATGGCGGATATTCCAAAATGGGCTTTTTTTTACAAAAATTAAATTTTTCATTACCCACCATTTAGGCTAGGGGTGAAATATCTACCTCGGGTTTGCGTCATTCTTTTTCTTTTAACAAACCCTTCAAAATGAGGGGTCACTCAATAGGGGTTGTTGTTGAAAAAAATAAGTCACTTTCACCCCCTACCCTGTTAAAGGGGTTGAAAAAATATTGTTGATTAAAAAAATTGCGGAACCTATGTCAACAATCAATTCCACAAACAGAATATTTCTATCTATTTCGGTTTTAAAAATACAGATTTCTTTCCATTATTTGTGAAATTGGTGCTTTTCACGTACAATAAATCAAATTTTGGAATATCCACCATTTGGGCTAGGAGTGAGATATTCACCTCGGATTTGCGTCATTGTGTTTCTTTTGACAAACTCTTCAAAATGAGGGGTCACTCAATAGGGGTTGCTATTTGAAAAAAATAAGTCACCCCCTACCACCTACCCTGTTAGGGGGGTAAAAAAATATTTTTCATGTGAAAAATTGCGGAATCTTTGTTAACTATTATTGCCACAAATAGAATATTTCTATCTATTTCGGTTTTAAAAATACAGATTTGTTTCCATACTTAATTTACACACTGTATACAAGTGATGGGTCGGTGACACTTTTTCAAAGTTGGTACTGGTACCGGTTCCTAGCCAAAATCAATTCCCGGTTCCGGTACCATCGGTGCATTATTTTAATTTTTAGCGAATTTCTCCTATATATGGAATAAGCTATTACTGTAGTACTCATGGTAAGACCTGGACCCGGGACCGATTTACTTTTTCGTTTTGAGGTCCCTAGAGGCCAAAAACACTATCCGTTCAAATTGATATATATGTGCCTGTTAGCACAATAGCTCTCGAGTAAAAATTAGGATTTTGATGAAATTTGGTATAAACGTGTTGGGTAAACCTTAATTTATTCTATCGAGTTTGCGAACCAGCATGATCGGATTATGGGAACAGGGGTTTATGGGGGGTATTATTGGGTAAAAATTGGTCTTTCCCATTTTTGACTAAAAAAACATAAAATTTAGCAATTTCTTTCCAAACTATTTTGAAGAGCTTAAAACCACCTAAAACCACCTTTGTATATTGAAACGTTTTTATGCGCCTAATGGTTACAGAGAAAATTCAAAAAAAATTTAATTTAAAATTCCTATGTTGTTTTTATGGAGAATAAAACGGTTGTACTTAGTTTGCTTGTTTAGGTAAATCCTATAACATATTTTGATCAAATTTGGAAAATGCATATATTTCTTACTAAACAACTACCTACCTAACATAAAAAAAAAAACTTACCCTCCCTGTTGCAGCAAACCTAAGTACTCGTTAAACTAATTCTATTAAAACAGGGAATCAATGTGATACCTTTAAGGAGACATTTTAGTGTAAATCCAATCAGGCAAATGGAAATTCGCTTAGTCTGCAGTAGGGGTGTGCGAATAGTGATTTTCAACCTCGAGCCGAGCCGAGCCGAGCTTTTTCAAAAGTTTTCGAGCTCGAGCTTTTTCGAGCCGAGCTTTTTCTAGCGTCACCTTATCTAAATTATTAAACTTTTTTTTCTTAAAAAAGTGCATAATAATAAAGTTCAGTCATTTTTTAAATATAAACACAATGTTATTTTAGTACCGTTTGAAAACATTGAGAATTGTCAAGACATCAAATAGTAGATAATCACGATAAGAACTGAACTGAACTAAATTAAGATGCAAGAAATAAAAGGATAATTGAAGGCCTGACGAGATATACAGTGCAGACTGAGACAATCAGATTGTCTTTCATAACAGAACAGCAACGCGACCTTGAATGACGACAAAACAACTAGCAAGTCGATTACATTATTATGTATATTGTAACTACTATGAATATTTAATTCTATTTTGTATAAATAAATACAAAATAAATTTAAAAACATGTGATTATTCTTGTTGTTTTCCATGCACAAAATATTTTAGTTTTATCAATCGTATTAATCAAAAAAGAACATAGTTGGTTTGGATCCAAAAAGGTGGAGAGACAAGTAAAAAGTAAACTTATATATTAAAAAAGATATAATTGACATATGGAGGAAATAGACCAAAACACTAAAACTAATAGAATAACACACAAAGTAAACAAGAAATGAAATAAAGAACACTATGAATTAACACTGTCACTCAATTTTGTTATCTAGAAGGGTCGGCGAACTAATCAATAAATAGCCAAAACCAGTTTCCTCCCCTTCTTGCAGTCTCATCACCACCCCTCCCCCCTAAACCGGGAGGCCCAACACTTTGTCCTTGAAACACCCACGTCTTTTGTACCCCTAAGAAACAATAAACTAGGGATGGACGAGATTGGATTTTTAGTTCGAGACGAGACGAGACGAGATTTTTTATTTCTCATAAAATTTCGAGACGAGATCGAGACGAGATTTCTCTTCTCATACACAACGGGAAATGCACGTTCGAAATTTTTACCTGATTTTGTAACATTGTTAGATGACTGTTTAAATACTAAAATAATGATAATAGGCAAGAATATTTACAATCTTTCATTAAATAACATCAGCATAACATTTTTTTATTAATCACGCCTAACTTATTAAAAATGCCTACGATTAGGAAACATGGTGATATCAGTTAGGATAGAGTTCAACTTATCCTAAAATAAAATAAATCATAAAATAAAAGCAATATTAATTTTTATAAAATAGTTACTTGTTTTGACTTTTTTTATAGTAATAAAACATTCCTCACACTGCTTACACTTAACAAAACTTCTCAAATGTTATTAAAGTAATATTATTAAAATAATGAAAGTAATATTTACATTAAAAGAATTAAAGTAATATTTACATTAAAAGAATTGATTAAATAAGAACGCCTTCGAAAAGGAAACGCAACTACAACACGCTCCTGTATTGCGGGTATTGCATTGACTTTCTGCAGGCGTTTTTAATTTTTTTTTTTTTTTTTTTTTTATTCTCGTCTCGATAAAAATCTCGGCCAAAAAGTAATCTCGTCTCGTGTAACGAGATTGAAAATTTCCCGAAATTTCGAGACTTGACCATCCCTACAATAAACCCTTACACCCGTGTTGCTGTTTTGACAACAGGTTTATGAATGCGATCACTATTTTTCATTTTCCAGAATTAACTATAAATTATTATTATTTGCAAGCTACAAATAGGAAACTACATCACATTATGGTATTCAATGACCCATGTATTATTATCAAAAATTAATAATTCATTACTTATTTTGATAATAAAAAGCATTCACTACAGCACGCACCACTTATTGATAGGTACATATAATCATCAAGGTAACTGTTACTTTATAGAAAATAAAAAAGTACAAAATTGTGTTGCCGGTCAAACTTTATAAACAAACATTTTATTCTATAAAATACATATGGTAAATAGGGATTGGTTTAAAGGAAATAAAATACAAAACAGATAATTAATTATTTTGATAAACATTAGAAAGGTTATAGGATTGATTGAACTAAAATAACTGCAGGGAAACTTATTTAAGGAGAAAAGTCCACAATCTGTTTAATCAGTACATTGTTAGAGAGAGAGAGAAAGAGAGATAGCAGATAGGGGCGTTTGATAAGGAATCTGAAAAAGTAAACAAACAAGGAACAATGACATGACGATACTCGTTTACAGCCTTATTGTGTCGCCCACTACATTTGCACACGTGACCACTTTTTGTTTCTTCCTTATCTTTCATCCGTCCCAAAATAGAATTCCTGAAATTGTTTGTTGATATAATCTCCCCTCCCACACAAGGCGCAGTGCTCAGTGCGCACTGTAGGTTGTCACGGCAACCGTGTGTCATCATAGCGACAAGCCAATCACGCACTCGCACTGCGTTGTATATTACGATACGAATAGCTGTTAGAAAGACAACGCGATAGGTGGTCGTTTGTCTCTTTCCTATCTCCTCAAAATTACGATCGATAATCATTGCGTCTTGACTGAGCTGAGGTTCGTGCTTATCAAACCTCGAATGCATGAACAACGTAGAATTGTGATAACATTGTTTTCAATTATGACCCAAATTAAGTGTTTTGACTTAGTATTAAAAGCTCGGCTCGAACTTCGAGCTTTTTCAAAATGCCTCGAGCCGAGCCGAATAATGAAAAGCTCGACCAAAAAGCTCGAAGATTCGAGTACTCGCACACCCCTAGTCTGCAGGTTTGCTGCGGCTGGGGTATTTTGTTTCGTCAGTTAACTAAAGTTTGGGAACCCCGGGCTTAGGATAATTTATTCTTTACTATATAACAAACGAATAGGCTACTGGTACCGATGTTAAGTAATTTAATAGGTATTGCTGTTGGACCATGCGTTCAAGGTTAGTTTTTTTTACTTTTTGTACACATTTTACTCTATGAACAAAAAAAAAAAAAAGGGTTGATTATCATAAGTAGAGTATGGTAGGCTAGTCATAGGTTGAAACGATTTAAAATACCGATATTTAGTTCAATATTGCTTGCAAATAGGTACCATGGAGTCGGATATCAAAGTTTTAACTGCATCCATACGGTAGGAGTGAGGTCAGAGAGCAGATAGGAGCAGAATACGAGCAAACAAATTTTTCATTTAAAGAAACTCACTCTCAAATCGGTTACTTCTGGGTGGCTCTTGAGTTTTTCAAAGAAAGACGTGAAGTAGTCTGCCCTGTCAATGTGCCTTGGGGCGACACACAGAGCGTCAATATCAGCTCCCTTGTGATGGACACCTAGCCTGTAGGAGCCGAAGGTGTAGATCTTTCCTCCCACCTGCTCGGCTACACTCTCTGGCATGTTGCGACTTATGCTAATCTCCTTGATCCATTCCTTCACTAAGGCATTCAGTTTGCTCAGAATCTCCATCCTACAACATCAGTCATTTCAAAATGTTTACAATTTGTTTTAGCCTTTTTTATAGAATCCTTTGTTAGTTTTTGTGATAGACATAATTAGGTGTGAAAAATTTAAATGTCAATCCTTACTTTTATGGTTAGTCAATGTTTCATCTTTGATTTTAATGAAATTTTAAATGTAGGCTAACTTAAGTAGAATGTTCCCATTTTCACTACCTACTTGTGTTCTGATAAAATATGTTATTAATACAATGAAGGCAGACACATTACCGATGATTCAATTCCTGGTCAGATTCTGTTACATTGTATGGCTTGAGAGCTTCTTCTAGTTCTTTGGTTCTCTGAATATCAATGGGTTTAGGGCCAGCAAGCGAGATTGCAGAAGTCATACCCAGTGCTTGCTTTTTGGCTTGTTCAGCTTTTTCAGCATTTTGTTGGTTCTGGAACATTTGACTTTGCATCTGTGTGGACCACATTCTGCAAAAAGTTTCAATTTTAGAGTAGGCTACAGCATTTTATTTTACATTAATTTCATTCAAACAACAACAAACAGCTTGATTTATTTTGATAATTCAGTAGCCTACAAACTATTGGACAATACATTCTAAAGACTAGTGCTAATAAAATGGTTGATAATGGTAAGTTAAGTGTAAGTTGAATAACAAACAACATTATAGCAAATAAAACAACAAAAATATGGCAACAACATAAATGCATGTGATAAACAGTGAAAGCAAAACAAAAACAAACATTGTAACACTCTGAATTTAAACTCTTATTTAGCTACCTATTTAATTATGCCCGTTGTTATTACTTATGTCTTACTTATTTTATGAACATAATATAAAATAATTTAAAACAAATTTTTGGCGGACAAACATGCCGACGCTTGAAATAGCAAGGGGGTACGTACACATATGATAAGCCTATGTAGGCTACTTGCTTGCAAGCCATGATAAGTTATTAAGGATACCTGAATAAAAAGTAGGAAAATACCTACCTGATTTGAGGTGCAACTTGCAAAGAATTTAACCATAGTGAGAACTTCCGCTCAAGCCGTCCATCATTCATTTTAACATGAGCCTCTCCCATCTGGCTCTAGTACAGACACGTCCCTTGAGAGTTGTACTTTTAAAGTGACTGAGACAGTACTGTATTTGAAACCTTGACTATTGTACTGGCTCCTGGCCAGAGAGACCCAGCTGTTTATTACACTATTGGATACCAGGTTGATATTTAAAAAGATTTTTATTTTGATTGTTGGGGGTTCAAAACTGGACCTTGCTGCCCTTGTTCATTCACCTCTTAATATGGTTTAGGCCTATTAATTTAATTTTTTGCTCGAGGGTCATCCCACTTTTACAAATTCATGAACGATGTCAAGCTAGACTAATTAAGTAATGGTCTTGGATGAACAACCAACTGATCTTTGGTGAAGCTCTGTCATCTTATTCAATAACCTCTCTGAATAATTTGTGCCTTGTAATACACAACCTAATGTCTTGGTATCTTATAAAAACTAGGCTAATTTATAATCTACTAGCTCTAGCTATAACTTAAATTTTATAGGGGTACAGTTTCTTAACTGGGCTATGCTAATATCGATTGAAACTATTGAATTGAAAATATTGATTAATAACCAATATTTTTAAATATATCTAGGCTATTATAAAATTAAACTAGGCTATCATAACTTAACCTAACCAACCAAACTTGCTGATGGTGAAAAAATCGCATGAAGGTTTACTAATCGAATCGATAGTTTCAATCGATATTAGCATAACCCAGTTAAGAAACTGTACCCTTTTATAGACTAAGTTAACTAACATTTTTCAAAATACTGTTAAGCTAGCCTAAATCAGACTACAAGCCTAAAAATCAAACTGGGTGTGTTTATTGTGGGCCTATTTGATTGTTCATGAGGCCGACAATTGATTTTTTACAAGAAATGGATTAGGAAACAGATTCACATGTCTAACATACCAAACTAGGGCTGGCTGGCTGGAATCCTATCATTAAATTGAACCTGTTAGGCTGATGTTAAATGCAAAAGTATCAATGCGTTAATCATCATAAGCTGTACTTAGTAACACATTTTAGACATTGGCAGCTAAGAAGCATAAAATGTGTTAACTTAAAATTAAACTAGACAAAAGACTAAAGTGTAACGGAACAGAAAACATGAAATGGCAAGAAATAAATATGTTAAGCTTAAAGGTAGAAAGAATGCTTGGTTGTGAAAAAAGAAGTGGATAGTTACCTTTTTATTTTATCTAGCATCAAAAGGGTTACGACATTAGTATTTACAGAATATTCTTGAGAAATATTGAAAAATTAAACGTAACCACTACCATAAACACTGACAATGACAGACCCCAATTTCAACATGGCTTCGTAGAAGATCAGAATCAGAAATCAGATCTTTGGCATTTAATTCAAAGAGGAAAATAAAATAGAAGATGGTATCTATGGCGTAGATTATTATTCAAAACTAGGGTGGATCCCACAAGTTTGACATCCTAATAGATCGACAAGTCAATTTTATCTTTTTTTACGAAGAAAATCACAATTTTTACAATTCAATTGGTGGATTATAATAACCATAAGTGACATTTTTACATTGTGTTTTTTATCACCAAATTATAAAATGTAACTAACCTTTGAATTAATTGTTATCTTCTAATTGAAATATTATGCCATTTTATCTTTGTTTCAATTTAATTGTTGTAATTTGGTTCCAGTGCCATATCTCGACACTATGTGTAAACATGGTTATAACAACATAGTCTCCCATTACAATCACAGTCCAAAGGTGGCCGGGTTACAATCGCAGTCAAGATAGATCATCAAGTGTGACGAAGCTGGTTGGTAGCCCACAAGCATAATATTTTCAATAATGGGTATATTTGCTATTTTTAGACGCCCGGCACTGTTTCACAATAAACTACAAGTTACAAGTTACAACTTGTAACTTACGTAATTTCCATTAGATTTGCATTGGGATGAAATAGGCCCCACTAACTTGATCTTTATCCCTGGTGAATATTTCAACCAATTAGTTGACTGGGCAGGGTGATAAAATCAGTAGTTAACAACTGTCCCAAGACTTTAAATTCCTTGCTCAACGTAAGATTTTTTTTTATTTAATTTTAATTTTTTTACACGGATGGATAATTTACTTTAAAATTTGAACGGAAGAAGGTAAACTAGAAAAGGCATATATATTATTGAAGGGAATTTGATTTTCTACAACCTTATGTCCAGCATTTGTTTTTAGAGTGCATAGTTAACTTGTCAAAAAAAAAAAAACGAGAGAAAATGTATTTTTATAAATTTACAAAATTTTTATAGTAAATAACGCGAGAAGCATACAAGATATCAAAAAATAGTAAATTACAAACTTGCTGACAATTTAATAAGATTTCATTTTGTATATTACCATAATTTCGCTTGGACGCATGGTTTCCGGGATTTCAGAAAAAACAAACCAAAAATGGTACCTTAAGCCCCCCCCCTCCCACAGCACATGGCTAGAGGAGGGGACTTTTGGTATTTTAACCTCCTAACTATACTAAACAAAGTTACGAAGTCAGAAATTGTGTTCCAATAATATTTCCCTCTATATCCTTCCGTTGCCTGGACTGTAATGTCTTTGGCAAGAAACAAAAGCAGTCTTCATATTCACTAAATTTACTCATTTCCATTCATATATTTTCAGTTTTTATTTATTTTGTTACTGTATTGATTTTTTGTTATCTTTAAGAAAATTATTAAAAACCCCGTGGGTTTGTTCAGAGCTGATGTGAGGTGCCCTGTAACTAGATAAATCACAAGTGACAAAGCCCCTTTCAACGCTGAAGAAGTCACCGCCTCCATTCACGGAAAGCTCATGGCCTTGACTCTTTGGGGACCCCAGCGATGTAGAGTTTGCTGGCTTGGGTTGCAAGGACGGATTAAAGGGGGGGGGCGGTGGGGGCGACCGCCCCCCCCCCCGAGGCCCAAGAGACAGAAAAAAAAAATTTTTAAAGGAACGCACGGAAAATAAATACTCGTTGTAGGTCTGCAAAAGAAAGATAAAATATTTTGTCTGTGGTAAAACTGGGTTAGTATGGTTAATTTACGGTTTTAACAAAAAGTCGGGGTGATCTTACAAATATTTTAATTTGAATTTTGGTAAACAAGGACAAGCGCTTTAAGGAAAATAATCTACGAAGGTTGGCAATGCTGTTTTTTTCGTGACTATTGAGTACATCCTTGTCTGTCGTCCGTCATGGCGTTGTCTCACTCGTCTGTTACCGATCGGCTCGCCGCCGCCATTTTACAGTATACTGCGAACTGTGAGAAGAGATGGAAGAACAATTAATTATTGACAGATATTTAATTTGAATGCGGACTTAAGTTGAATATTTAAGTTTTCAATATTTTAATTTGATATAGGCCTACCAAATAGGGGCTGGTATTAAAAATTAAAACACCACCGGCAACCTGTATTCGGGGTTGGGTGATGAAATTCAAAATCATGTTAAAAGGTGTGTGACATCACTCATGGTCACGTGAACTGAAAGTTATTTTAAAATGTACCGTCATGAAAAAATAAAAGTGATGGAATGTACAGTTCCAGTCTAACATTAACGTCTAACATTTCTTGTCATACATTTTTTAATTCGTCGTATCAATTCAAATTTGTGGCATTAATTAAATTTTTTAAAGCTCCTTAAAGTTATGTGCTAATTGATAAGGATTGTCGTTTAACAATTTTAAGCTATCCCTAGCAACCCCTACTAGGGTGGTGAGGGGTGAAATTTAAAATACCACAAAAAAGTACTTTATATTACCGTAGTAACGTGTATCGAAGCTCATTTGGATATATGCAACGTTCAAAAATTATTCAGGGGGTAGCATTACGGGACACCCGCTATGTAAGATTGAATAAATCAAACTTCATCTTGATATTTTAGGTCATTGGCCTATATTACGCATCTGATAGTGCTTTTTCAGAAGAGAGGACCGTCGATAATTATAAATTGATATTACTTTAATTGGAAACAATCATCTTCTAAAAACCTAATTATTAGAGCAGATTGTACAACACTATTTTTATATTTTTTAGAATAAAAATGTATTTCAACTTACATTATTCACAACCAAAGTTACAAATGAATGGTTTTGAAATAAATTTTAGCCTATACTGCATGTAAAAATAATCAACTATTTAAAAATGTTAAATATAAATGCAGTTCAAAAACAACAAACAAGTTGTTTTCACTTTTAGCTCAGAAGTTTTCAACACGACCTTATCATATACATATATTTTTAAATACAACTAAACTAAACAAGAATGGTAATGTAGGATAGTAGTAATAATTATAATAACAGTTAACATTACAATTATTTTACTAATCTCTTGTTTACGATGTGGGGAGCAGACGGCACGGCACGGCCGGCTATCACCCACTGCCAACATCACAACACCAAATACTCTACGATTCCCTCAATGTTTATTGCTTTAAGTTCTGAACTCAAATAGGTTCAGGACTCATAGATCCTGGAGTTTCAGAGATAGATCCGCGACTCAGCAAGACGATTTAGATCCCAGAACTTATTTGAGTCCATTTAAACTCAAGTATTTAGGCCACTCACCAGTAGCCTATATTGAAAACATGTAACAAATATATTTTTTTGTACCTTTATATTATTTAATAAAAAATGTAATTTGGTTAAATTTATTTTTGACATGAATGTTTTCTTTGTAAATAAATTAAATGGAAAATATACAAAGTTTATTATTTTTTATTTAACCTGTCTGGTGTTTTTTTTTTATAAAAGTTGTGTAGTTTAAAAATAATACTGTATAAAGAGGACTTAAAATGCGTATCATTCATATGTGTATATAGGTGATTAATTTTGCTAAAAATAAACAGGTTCTTGCTATGATTTTTTATGCACACAAATTTGTAGGCCTAGTAGGCAAATGGTTTATGAAAAGTGTTAGATTTACTTTAAGAATATACAGTAAAATTTTTAGTCTAAAACCTCTAAAACTGGTAGTTTTTCAAGGCATTTTTCTATTCCATACCCCCCAGGCCCCCCGGATCCGCCCCCTCCCACAAGATGGTACTAATCCGCCACTGTTGGGTTGTTGCTTTCATCGCTGCACTATTGCGTTCATCGCAGCTCTTGTCTCCACCTGACACACTTCCTGTCCATCTGGAAGGAATCGTCGGTGATCCTCATCCCTAAGTTTGGAAAAGACCCTCACTTCGCAGATAACCATAGGCCCATCTCCCTACTACCTGTGTTCTCTAAGATCCTCGAGAGGCGATCCTCTCGAGCCAAGATATTTTAAACATCTTTGCCACCAAGACTGATAATCGAATATATAATAGGTTACGTACCTTGTTCAGTCTTCAGTCTTAACTTAGTCAGTGGATGACTAGTTTCGGGAAAAAAGTCCCATTATCAAATCCTTATTTAAAACGTCATATTGAATATGGTCAAATATCCGGCCACAATGAATACGGGACAAACCGAAGCAGGTTACACGCCGGACACGACAGAACTGAGTGGAGTTCTGTCGTGTCCGCCGTGTAACCTGCGTCGGTTACTCGACCATACCATAGATAAAACATACACCATACACTCGACCACTCTTCAGCTACGTAAAATAGCGAACAACATCTCCGCAGCACCACAGCACTGGATATGTAGCACCATGCCACCTCCATCCTGATTGAAGTCAAAGTCATCATCAGTCAGCAAAGCATTCGACAGGTTGTGGCACGAGGGGCTGCTCTAGATGTTAACTTCGTCCCCTCTCATTGGCTGTCTCTGGAAGCTGATGAGAAGCTACTTCCACCAGCGATGCTTCAGTGTCCACGTTGACAAAAGGTCCTCCACCGATAGACCCATCTCGTCTGGAGTGCCACATGGATCAGAACTGGACCCGATCCTGTACCTGTGGTACACCAACGACATGTCAGTCACTCCCCCACTCCAGTTGTCCTATACGCAAACGAAGCGCTATTTACTGCCACCTCCACCAACCTCGAGGACCTACGTCTTATGACAGCTTGACCTCATACAACCCAGGCTGACCAACGCTGATAGGACGCCATATTTTTCACACGCACCAGATTGTTATGGTTTGATAGGCTGATGCCATCACCTTACCATCGAAGGCCGTGTATTGCCATGGCAGACGACAGTCAAGTACCCGCGGGAGTACTGCTTGACAAGAGGATACCCCTGGACACCCCACGTAGATATAGTATGCTGCTTCGCTGCTGGCCTTAACCAACTCAAAATTCTGCTGAGCCCGCTGTTCAGTCCCAGACGACTTCCCAATCAGACAAGGCCTTGTTTTGCACACTATTTGTTGGATTTTTGTACATTTAACACTATCTTCTACTGCCTTTTGTGAAGCCTATTTAAAATGTGGCACCTTCTCTGATGATGATAGGCCGCTAGCAAGAATCACCACCTTTAACGTTAAAAGTGGCCGTGGTATCAAGACACCATCGGAAACCGTTCCACCACTACAACCTGCCATCACCGGTGTTAATCAAAGGCGTTGGATTGGTGGGTGAAGCTAGACTCTAGCTGGTAGGTGGTAGCGTATCTCCTAGCTGCTAGAGGTACACTACCGCCTACCTGCCACCTCCCACGCCAGTGACAAGGTGCCGCCCCACTATTCATGGGTTCGTTTTAGGCACTGAGCTATAAATAGGCCTTCGCTTTGGTTTTTTTTTGTCTTCGAGTCTCGTGCCGAACATTCGGTGATAGCATTGATTACACATCTCCCCTAGGCAATAGTGTATGTTCAAGGTGCTATGCCCACCAGACCAGACTAGCTTAATAAAAGAGTCTAGTGAAAGAAACATTGTGTTATTGGTTAGTCTATTACTTGACGTTACTTCTTCTTCACCAAGACCAGCTATGCCAGGATAGGTTGTGTTAGAGTTGGAGTAAGTTTAATATATGGTTTTGTCAATAGGATTTGTTGTATGAGGTAAATTTATGAGATGAGAATATTTTGTTTGATATTTGTCAAATGGTTTGAAGGTTTTATAAAGATCCAAACTATAAACCGAGCTTAACCAACTTGATTCGACTCTTTTCTTATTTTTTAGTTATTTTACAGCAGCTCGAATATTTTGAGGCACTTAAATAATTAATCGGGATCGTGATGTATACTGTTTTAACAATAATGAAATACGAATTGTTGGTCTTGTGATAACGATCTATATAGTAGCAATTTTATGGAAATAGGCATTCTAATATATATTATGCTTAAGAAATATTGTACTGGCTGACAATGATCTCTTGTTATTATCTGTCTTGGTCCTGTATGCTTACATATTATAATTTTATATATATAGTGATACTTCGTTTTAAAATCCACCTAGTTATTGTTTGACTGAGATGATACCTTGGTTTTGAGCTTATACTTACTTAAAAAACTAAAAGTATTATTTTTATAATATACATCTCCTATTAATTCATAATTTATTTCGTAAAAATATGAGTAATATTCCCTTTTGAATGTTCTTGGCTGAATCGTGAATCGTGATTGGGTGGTTGTCCATCTAGTTTTTTAATGCCCACATGTAACGTCCTCTCTCATTGGTTGGAGCTCACCACCAGGCAACTGCAGCATTGGTTGAGAGCATTATTCTAACCAATTAGATCGCTCGTCTCAATGTTATACGTCCCATTTTACAGGATAGGATACTGTACGTAAGATGTGGGAAGAAGGTTTTCAGTGCAATTGCAATTTTTAGGCTCTTCATTCGCTTTAGGAATGAGTGAGTACAAATATAACATTATGCATGAGTTCTTTAAATGTTGGAGCATCATTTTGATGCATACATTTATATCAATTTGTCCTATGTTAAGCGCTGTGTAGAATTATTGAACGGAGTGTATCACCCAAGCCGAAATAGGACGTTTGGAATGGCGTTCGCAAAGTTCATTGTTCTCTAAAGCGAGCCGTAATTAGTGTGACTCTTTGACAAACACTAAATTCACTGTGTTAGAGAAACTCAGGGGTGTAGAATATGAAGTTTAAGGTTGCCGTTTTATTGGTTCTGTTAATCTTGAGACGCAGATGAGTGATAGGAGTAGAGGACAATTATTTGGATCACAATTAACACAGGTCAATAAATGCTGATTGCGGTGGCCCTTTACCGTTCACCATAGTACCATCTTTAAAGTGTAGTGACGAGTCAAAATGTTTTCTTTGGTCTCTACAAGAATTGTTAAGTATTTTTCCTCTGGTTCTATGCCCTAGTCATAGACCAAACTTAACTCTGGATGTAGCCTATGTGGTATGATTGCAGCTGATTATTTGATAGGCCTGGTGGTAGCCTAAGTTAATCATGTCAATAATGAAAGTAGTAAAAGTACCTAAGATAGGGAGTAGCCATTCGATTAAAGTATGCAGCAGGTCAAACTGAAGAGTAACTTATTATTTTTTTTATTATTAGATTAAACAAAAATAATTAACTTAAATAGCCTCAGAAGCCTACTCCTATAACTTAGTTATTAACCCTCCTGGCATCAGTAATTTTTGGTGTGTTGGTCGATTTTCAGTCATTTTGTAGCATTTTTTGTCATTTTGTAGCAATGTTTATTAAAAACTATAACAAATCTAATTTAGGTTAAACTTTGCAAAATTACTAGGCCTAACTTAAGTTAATAAGTTAGGCCTAAGTTAGCCTAACTTAAACCTTAAGTGCAGGAAATACTTATAGATTTTGACTAGGAAAAAATTACAAGTCCGGATTTTTTTTTTCATGGATGGCTTTAATTTAGTCGAGTTCCCCAATTATTGTGTGTGCGGGAATTTCACAATCTTACTAAAATGTTCTAACGGCATATAGCAAATTTCTCCTACAGGAAATAAGCTATTACTCACTTGAAAATGGTCTAATTCTGATGAAATTTGGTACAAACCAGTAATGTAGCATATCAGACTTAAAAAAAGTTTGAAAACCAGCCAGATCGCTTAATCCTAAGGGGGATTTTGTAACCCAAAAATGGCGGTTTCGAGTAATTTAACACTAAAGTTTGAAAGATTCAAATTTTAGTTTTTGTGTTTACTTTATTGGATACAGCTTTTAAAAAACACAAATTTAGTGTGAATTTAGTGTGTTTTTAGTGTGAATTGGTATTTTGATCATTTCTTCACGCCAATTGGTTTCCGAGGTATTGAAAGTGCTAAAGACAGTACGTTGTCTAGTGTTATTCTTATGGAGGAATAGAAAAGTTGTACACCTCACTTAATCGTGAACGTATACTGATGGAACTTGGTATAGGCTACCGCTTCTTCTCTTGTGGTCTATTGATATTTTCTCTAAAAACATTTTTTTCTCCAAATGGTCCTGTAGCAGGAAACCTGCGTACTCAGACCCTATGTTATTCTTATGGAGAATAATTAAAGGCTACGTCTCCCTATATGAATTTAAATTAATAAAACTTTTTATGTTGTTTCACCTAGAGTTGAGTCCTATTAATATTTGCATAAAAACTCATATTTTGTATTCCTTGTTGCGGCAAACCTTTGTACTCAGTTCTCATGGATTTGCTTATGGAGAATAATTCATATGCTATACAGTACACATATAATACATAAGTACATATATATATATATATATATACTTATTTCTTGTTTATGAATGCATTTTAAAGAAACTTGGTTGGTGGCTTTATGTGCTTAGATATATACAGGTTGTTTCACGGGAACCCTTACAAACTTTAGGAAATGGTTCCTTGAATCAAAAGTAGAAAAAAAAAACTACCTATATGTCCTACACTCACTCGTTTTCTATTTATACGTAAAAATAGGTTATTTTAGTTTTTCAATGTATCTGTTTTTACCTCTAGGCTATATGGAAAAATTGACAAGATATTTCGATAAAACTTAGGCCTACATTGATAGAGATGAAATTAAATTTCATAGAGATTTCATTACTATTTTGTGCAAACATGTTGGTTGTGACTATTAATAATAAAAAAATATTTTCAAACAAATCTTGATTTAAAATTATTTTTGTTTTTTTTTGACAGCTCTTCATGCAGTAACCGGCTTTTGGCTTGCAACCTTACCAAAAGTTTTAGAATTTAAGGGACAACAAGGAAATGTGAATTTATCTATAAGTACCTTTTATTAGGATAATTTTTGTCAAAATCTAAATTATTCTAAAATTTGAAAAAAACTAATTAAATTAAGGGAAATAAACAAAATTGCATCTTTAGCTTATTTTTAAACACATCTTGGTAATAAAGGTTTATATATGGGTTCTCCTAGTTGAGAAGTATTGCACAATGGCATAAAATTTTCTTCTTTTTCATTATATGATTGAAAACAAGCATACCGTACCGACTTTCCTGTGTTAACCCTATGGGGAAAAAATAAAATACGATAGCTCGCATATTTCTGAACCTATCTAATTAAAACTTGATATGTAAATTTTTTTAGTTGATTACTATAAGATTGTAGCCTAATTATCCGCTAGATCAACGCTAGAAGAGATACAGTACAAATGGCTACTAAAATAAAAATATTTTTATCTAGTTTTTTTTTTATCAAGTATTGGTTTTCAAAAGATTTTTTTACCGCAGTAAATATTTCTGCACAAATTAGTAATGGTAAATAATTTAAAATTTAATACTCTATCTAATCACAAACACCTTTTTGAAATATTATATATATTTTAGTACAAAACGTCCATTAGACAAATAAAAAGTTAAAGAAACAAATTTTTTTCCTAAAGGATGGAAGTAAGCCGGCTTTGTGCAACAGAAATGTAAAACTAGAGATTTTAGGCAATAATCATGTAGTATTCAACTAAAAGAAGGGATATAGGCCTACTAAGTTTTAATAAGATGTGTTCAGAAACATGCGAGCTATTGTATTTTTTTTTTTTCTCCGTAAGGTTAACATGGGAAAGTGGGTACTTAACTGGTATGCCTTTTTTCTATAATTAAAAATGAAAAAGCAGGAAATTTTAGGCCATTATGCAATACTTCTCAACTAGGAGAACCCATATAACAACTTTTATTAGGATGTGTTATAAGATAAATATACAATTTTGTTTACTTAGTTCAGTTCAATTAATTTTTGATAGTTCGCAATATTTTAGATTTTTACAAAATTATCCCAATAAAAGGTATACATCAATTCACATTTCCTTGTTCTCCGTTAAACTCTACAGTTTTTGGTAAAGTTGCAAGTCAAAAGATTGAATGGTTACCACATGAAGAGTTCTCAAAAACGAAAAATAATTTTTAATCTAGATATTTTTGAAAATATTTTATTTTTAAACTTATTTTATCCGTCACAACCAACATGATTGCACAAAATATTAATAAAATCTCTTTGAAATTTAATATTCTCTCTATCAATACAAGTTTTATCAAAATATCTTGTAAATTTTTTAATCTTGAGGGCAAAATGTTCTACAGATAGACTAAAACCCAAAAAAAACACAATTTTTACATATAGGCTAACTAGAAAACGAGTGAGCTTAGGACATATGCTTATAGGACCTTTTTTCAGTTTTGACCCCAGGTACCATTTTCTGAAGTTTGTCAGGGTTCCCGTGAAACAATCTGTATAAATGAAATGAACTATGAGAGGCCTCCTGAGGAAAAAGCTAAAATTAGAGTTTAAGTAAAGAACTAGCCTACATTGCAAACTTAGGCCTATTCTGTGTGTGCCATGTTAGGTTTACATACTGTATTAGAAGTATTCATGCAATAATTTATGATTAATCTGTTTTGACTTTTTTATTGAATTATTCTACTAGTAAGAAAGAATAGAAATTTCTTATCCAGATTTTTAAAATCATTTTATAATTATTTTAATTTAACCATCAGATTGGCAAATCCGCACACACCATCAATGGGGAACTTTCTGTACTTGCTTTTTATACCTAATAGAAGGCAACAATGGAATAAAAAATCTGGCTTTAATTATTTCCTAATTTGATGAAAATGTTAGCTTTATTTCCTGGACTACTTATTAATTTGAAATAACAACTTCACCAATATTTTTTCTGAATTTTTAATTTTTATGAGGCCTTTCACCAGCTATGCTGGCATCATCAGACACATCACAAAACTCTAGGCTACTAACTTACCTTGTTAGGCCTAGGCCTAAGTAACTTATATTTAACTTATTTATATGCAAACTAAGTTAAATAGGCCTACCTTAAATGCACATTAAAATTCAGAATTTAGTTTTTATAAATTTTGGGTAGGTACAGTTTCTTAAACTGGGCTACGCTAATATTGATTGAAACTATCGAATTGAAAATATTGATTAATAATCGATATTTTAAAATATATGGGTACATTATTATAAAATTGGTAATTATTCCATATAACTAAGGTGCCTCCAAACGAATAATATGCAACATTACAATAAACAAGGTAGGATGGATGACATTTACAAGTGAAATGCACTATGGGTTAAGTAAGCCAACAGCTGATTGTTTTCAATCATAGGCAAGCAAATGGAAGTGACAACTTTATTAGCTGATTCTGCAATATGAAAATCACCTGTTTAAGTTACACTTTTCACTTTCTAAGACCAATAAGTTTTAACACATTTAAACAAATTTAGCCTATCACTGTTACCAGCATTTTATTTTTATTAATGATTTATTGATTTATATTTTGCCGTTTGGAAATTACATGATAAAATGGTGCTATTCTAACATAAAACCTAACCAAACCTCTAGAATGTAGGCGAACTCCTTTTGATGTCAGATAAGGCATGTCAGGGTGGTAGGTCGGTTGC